TGTGTGTGTTCAGAGGACAACTTTCAGGAGTCAGTTTTTTCTTTCCACCATGTGGGTCCTGGGGATTGGACTTAGGTTATGATTATTAGGCTTGAGGTCAAGAGCCCTTACCCACTGAGCCATCTCACTGGCCCTGTAAATAGTTAGTATACTGTTTAGTTTACTATACTGTTATTTAAAAGGTAATGATGCGGAGCTGGAGAGATGGCTCAGAGGTTAAGAGCACTGTCTGCTCTTCCAAAGGTCCTGAGTTCAACTCCTAGCACACACATGGTGGCTCATAACCATCTGTAATGAGATCTGGTGCCCTCTTCTGTCCTGCAGGCACACATGCAGGCAGAATACTGTATACATAACAAATAAATAAATCTTAAAAAAAAAAAAGGTAATGATGCCTTTGTATGTTGTAATCCCAACACTCAGGGATGCAGAGGCAGCTGGATCTCTGAGTTCAAGGCCAGCCTGGTCTACAAAGTTAGTCCAGGACAGCCAAGGCTACACAGAGAAACCCTGTCTCGAAAAAACAAACAAAAAAATACTGATGCAGAGCTAGAAAGACAGCTCCACTGGTAGGGGCTTCCAGAGGACTCAGGTTCGATTCCCAGTACCCACATGGTGGCTCACAACCGTCTGTAATTCAGTTCCAGGGGACCCAACGCCTTCTGGTGTCCATGGCCACTAGGCACACACACGGTACACAGGCATACATGCAGGCAAAGCACACATAAGAAAGGAAGAATAATGCTGGAGGGGGGCCTGCGCAACCTTTGAGTAAACCAGGTTATTAAATTGTTTTCCACCCCTGGTTGGAGTTGTTTGGTTAGTGTGTTTGCTGGGGACGGGACGAAGGCCTGGAGCATGCTGGCCAGCCACTGTCCTGCTGAGCCACACCCCTGTCCTCCCTGTTGGTGTGAAGCATGGAGGCCAGGGTGTCTGGCGAGGCCAAAGGTGTCCTGGTTACTTTCTCATTGCATCTAGAAAAGGTCTGATGTAAGCAACTGAAGGGAGTGCCGCTTGGCTCAACTGCTGTAACAGAGGACAGAGAGGGAAGAGCGTCCTGGGAAGAGGGTGCAGCGTGAGAGGCCTAAAGGAAGGAGTCAGCCTGCCAGGACTTCCTTCCTCCAGCACCTCAGTCTCCCAGTACTGCTGTGAGGCTGTTCAGGTCACCTCTGGAAATGTCATCAAAGGCACATCCAGGCCCTTTTCTTTAACCTCTCAGTAGTTCTCGCTCTTTTTTTTGTTGTTGTTTTGTTTTTGCTTTTTCCTTTTGTGGCTTTTAAGATGCTTTCTTTTTTTCCTTTTTTTTTTTTTAAGACAGGGTTTTTCTGTGTAGCCTTGGCTGTCCTAGACTCTATTTGAAGACCAGGCTAGCCTTGAACTCACAGAGATCTGCCTGTCTCTGCCTCACAGAGTGCTGGGATTACAGGCCTGCACTGCCGAGCTCAGCTTCTTCTTCTTCTTTTTTTTTTTTTTTAAAGATTTATTTATTTATTTATTATGTATACAGTGTTCTGCCTGCATGTATACCTGAACACCAGAGATTTTATTATAAATGGTTGTGAGCTGCCATGTGGTTGCTGGGAATTGAACTTAGGCCCTCTGGAAGAGCAAGCAGTGCTCTTAACCTCTGAGCCATCTCTCCATCCTCCAAGCTCAGCTTCTTAAGATGCATTTTTAAATGACATATATTTTGTGCAGGTGGCTGTGGATGGCTCCTGTGGAGGTTAGAAGACAGCTTTTGATAGTCAGTTCTTCTGCTTTGTGGGTTTAGGGACGGAAGCCATGTCATCCGAAGGCACTTCTACCCAGTGAGCCTTCTCACCAGCCCCTTGTGTCTGTTTGTTCAATTTTCCTATTCTCTCCGTGTGTAAACACAGGCATGGGTATGACACATCACATGTATGGAGGTCGAAGGACAGGGGTTGGTTTCTAAGGATTGGACTGAAGGTGTCAGGCTTGCACAGCAAGGACCTTTACATGCTGACACATCTTTGCTTCCTATTTTCTGTGGAGTCTTTGCTTTGTCTGGGAAAGGATCTCCTGTATCCCAGGCTTGCCCCAAACTCAAACCTCACTATATGGCTGACACTGGCCTTGAACTCTTCTTGGTCCTCCTCACTCTGCAGTGCTGGGTGACAGTTTGGTACCATGGCATTCTTCCTAGTTGTATTTGTTGAGACAAGGTCTTGCTATGCAGCCCTGGCTTGCCTGGAGCCGTTAAGCAATGATGCTGGCCTCCAACTTCACAGGGCCTTCTTGAAACACAGGGCCTTCCTGTGTAGCCCTGGCTAGCCTGGAGCTATGTCCACGAGGCAGGCTGTGCACTGGGAGATCCACCAGTCTTTGCCTTCAGAGTACTGGGAGCCAAGGCTCATGCCACCATCTTCCAACATTCCGGTCAAGCTGATAAGCAAAATTCACTATCACAGATTGCACATTCCTGTTTTAATTTTACAGGAATCAAAGTGATGTGGCATGTTTAGCCAGGTCCTCACAGGGCGGGACACCTGTGTCGCATGGCTGGCTGACTGCTGGGAAGGAGGGCCCCTGTTCCCCTGGTGAGCTCACTCCTCACCACACCTCTCTCTTTCAGGAAGCATGCTCTGAACTGCCATCGGATGAAGTCCGCCCTCTTCAGTGTGCTCTGCGAGATCAAGGGGAAGGCCGGTAGGCGGCTCTGAGACTGTGCAAGTGTGTCGCACTTGCTGGCCCCTCGGCTCCTGGCAGCACATGGTTCTGCCATCTTCCAAAATTCAAAACTAGAATTTTATCCTAATTCGAGCATCCAGGGTGGAATTCTTCTGCCTCTGCAAATGCCTTTAAGAAGCAAGTGGGCGGGTTGGCCGGATAGTTCAGTGGATAAAGGCACTTAGCACCGTGACCCCAGGACTCATGGTGGAAGAAGAGAATTGACTCTAGCAAATTATCCTCTGACCTGCATTCATGTGTTGTGGCATAGGCCCCCATCCCACCAATAAAGAAGTATAGTAAAATAAATAAAAGTTTAACAGTAATAAAAAGGGAGGAATCCCAGTTCCTAAGAGATAAAAGAGAAGGAGATCAGAAGTTATAGCTTAAGTCCCAGGCTAGCCTGGACAGCATGAGACCCTGTCTCAAAACAAAAACAAGAGCAAAAGAAAAAGAGTGTGGTTGAGGAGCTAGCTCAGTGTTTAGATCAGACACCATGTAAGCCTGAGGAGCAGACCTCAGAATTCCCTCACTCGTGTAAGGGTGAGGTGGGCCTGCTCACTACCTGGAATCCTAGTGAGCTAGGATCAGGATCAAGTTGGCTGTCTAATCAGGGAGTTCTGGATTCAAGTCAGAGGCCTTAACTCATGTAAGGTGGAGGGGGCTGGAGAGATGGCTCAGCAGTTAAGAGCACTGCCTGCTCTTACAGAGGACCCAGGTTCAATTCCCACAGCCATGTGGTGGCTCATCTATAACTCCAGTTCCAAGGGATATGACTTCTCACCTTGCAAGCAGACTGATATCATGTGCACAGACATCCATGCAGGCAAAATGCCAATACACTCGTGTGTGTGTGTGTGTGTGTGTGTGTGTGTGTGTGTGTGTGTAATGGATAATGATGAAGGAAAACCTTGATGCCAACCATGGGCCTGCACACACATGAAGGTGCACCTACACACACTTACATCCACGCTACACACATATCCACGTAAAGAAAAGGCCAAGCCTGGTAGCACAGTCATCAGTTCAGGAGGCTGAGGCAGGAAGAGGCAAGTTGAAGGTGAACCTGGCCTTTCTTATAAGACCTTGTCTCAAAATTAAGCCAGCCAGGTGTGGTGGCACACACCTTTAGTCCCAGCACTCTGGAGGCAGAGGCAGAGGCAGGTGGATCTCTGTGAGTTCCTCTGTGAAACCCTGTGTCAAACAAAAACAAAACCCCATGGACCTCAAGCTTTTGATCCTCTGCCTCAGTCTCCCGAGTGCTGGGATTAGAGGCCTGACTGAGGATGTCTGCCTCGTCAGTGCGATGGCTCCAGGCACTTCCTGTGAGGGGCTGCATAGTCACTGCTGGGGCTTTTGCATCTGTCTGCTTCATGGAGGGGAAAGCTGCCAGCATAGCTGCAGTGTGTGCCGTAACCCCACACGCCTGAGAGGCCCGATGGCCTTCTGCTGTGTGCCGCTGCTTTGTTCTGTCCTTGAGCTCCTGCTCCTCCTGCCTCTGCCTCCCCAGAGCTCAGGTGCCACGTGTGCTTCTGCACACCTGGAGCGCATGTTAGGCATGTGCTCCACCGTGTGTGCAGACCACATTTTGTGTGTGTTCGTCCGACAGACACATGGACGTGTCCTCAGCCGTTGTGGGCAGTGCTGCCGATCCCAGGGGTGTACAGATGTGTGTCCAGGCCCCTGCTCTTCCTATTTTTGTCTTTTAATTTTGGGTAGTACCCAGAGGGACCCAGCGCCTCACACATGCTGTGCTAGATTAGTTACTTCCTTGCTGTCATGATAAAGCCACATGAGAAAGGCTTGTTGTGGCCCCTCGTTTAAGGGGACAAGTCTGTCATGGGGGAGGTTGGTGGCAGGAGCAGTTCCAGGCTGGTCACACGTGATCATTCTAGCACCTCCCAAAACAGCACTGCAGCTCTTGTGCTCAGACACAAGAGCCTGGACCAGTGGGTTTGATACCCGGGCACAGATGGTGGGCAGAGAGAACCAGCTGTGGGAACACATACACGCACAGTACACACACACCACACACACACAAACTCACACAGGCTAAAGAGAAGTAAGAAAAACGAAAAGGCCTGAACTGATGCCAGCACTTGGGGAAACAGAGGCAGGCAGATTTCAGTGAGTTTGAGGTCAGCCTGGTCCACAAAGGGAGTCCAGGACAGTCAAGGCTACCCAGAGAAACTCTATTTTAAAAAATTAAAATAAATAAAGACAAGAACTTTCTTTCTGTTTTTTAAAAGATTTATTTATTTTATGTATATGAGTGCTCTGTTTTCATGCACACCAGAAGAGGAAATCAGATTCCATTACAGATAGTTGTGAGCTGTCATGTTGTGCTGAGAATTGAACTCAGGACCTCTGGAAGAGCAGCCAGTGCTTTTAACTGCTGAGCCAACTCTCCAGGCCTAAAGGCTGTTTCTTTTTTTCCCTTTTTTTTTTTTTTTTAATTATTTATACAGTATTCTGTCTGCATGTGTGCCTGCAGACAAGAAGAAGGCACCAGATTTCATTATAGATGTTTATGAGCCACCATGTGATTGCTAGGAATTGAACTCAGGACCTTTGGAAGAACAGCCAGTGCTCTTAACCTCTGAGCCATTTCTCCAGCCTGAAAGAAAAGAATTTTCAAACTCCTGAGCTTGCAGGGAGTGTTTGGCATTGAGACCTCTCCACCCCTGAGCTACATCCCGGCTCTGCTTATTGGTGTAGTTAAGACACTGCTCAGCTTGTTTGTAGAGCTTTCCTGTCATCCTCAGGAAGTGGAGGCAGAAGGATCAAGAGTTTAAGCCTGGTCTGTAGAGTGAGTTCCAGTACAACTAGTGTCACACAGAGAAACACTGTGAAAAAAGTTTAGCATCATCTACATAGCAAGTTCAAGACCAGCCTAGACTATATGAGACTATATATGCCTGTGATCCCTGCACTTGGGAGATTGGAGCAGGAGGATGAACTGTTCAAGACTGGCCATTTTTGGTGGCACATGCCTTTAATCCCAGCACTTGAGAGGCAGGGGCAGGAGGATCACTGTGAGTTTGAGGCCAGAGTAGTCTACACACTGAATTCCAAGACAACCAAAGCTGACAGAGAGATTGTCTCTGTCTCAGAGAGAGAGAGGGAGGGAAGAAAAGAGAGAGAGAGAGTTGAAGAGTGACCTGGGCTTTATACCAAGGCCCTGTCAGATAAAAAACAAGACTAATGAAAAACAAGATCAAACAAACAAACAAAAAAAACGAAACCCAAACCAAACAGAAACAGCCAAGTATGGCGTGTGATTGATCCCAGAACACCAGGGTAGGCAGACTGGGAATCACAGCCTAGTCTAGGTATCGAGCCTGAGCTAAATGAGACCCAGGCTCAGCCCCTCCACACATCCCCAGACCCAGAAACAAAAAGATGTTTTCATGACTACTCTCAGCAAGCTGTGGAGTCTGATGCACTTTTTGCTTGGTGAGCTGTGTGACTCTTGTCTTTGCCCTGCTCTGCTCCCTGGACTGCTGCCTCCCATGCTGGTATCCTGGGGGCTGGCAGGCTCAGAGCATGAGCCGCACATCTTGCCTTCCACCCGCAAGCTCAGATAGGTGAACTGGGGCACACTTTCAGTTAGTACTGGGGTGGAGTGACAAGTCTCACCTCAAGCAAAGCAAGTTGTTGAAACCTGCTGTGAGCTGATGCCCTGACCCCACCCCTGCATCCAAGGCAAGAGGGAAGTGCAAGCTAGGAACACCTTGGGCCCCACCTACAGGACCTCGGTGTGAGGACTGCAGGAGAGCAAGGGAGTTGCAGCTACTGCACCAGAAAGAGCCAAGGCTCGGCTCAGAGAAACTTCATAGTATGACCTCTGGTGCCCACAGCCCATCGGCCAGGGAGCCAAGGTTAGGAAATATCACAATGAGACACACACAGGATAAGCTATACTGAGGAACACAGATGTGTGGGGGTGAGAGGACAATATTCTAGGAGCCAATTTTCTCCCCGCACGGAGTAGATTTTGGGAATTGAACTCAGGTCAGCAGGCTCAGCAGCCAGCACATTTATTTACTTGCTGAACCATCTCACCAGTCTGGAATGTTCTTTAAAAAATTTTTTTAGAGGTTTTCTTTTTATTTTTCTTTCTTTTTTAAGACAAGGTTTCTCTTTGTAGACCTGGCTGTCTTAGAACTTGCTCTGTAGACCAGGCTGGTCCGGAACTCACAGAGATCTGCCTGCCTCTGCCACCAAGTGCTGGGATTACAGGTGTGACCACTGCCCGGCCTGGACATTTGTGGGAGCTGCTTCTCTCGTACCCTGTGAGCCCAGGGGCAGCTAGATGAAGCTCATGCACTTCATGTCACTTCACAGTGTTTGAAGCTGGGCGTGGTGGCCCAGGCGGCTGATGAGGGGTGGCAGCAGGCGTGCAGCCTGGGTGCAGAGTGGGACCCTGGCTCAGACAGAGCAGCTCTGCAAGTTGCTGGTGACTTTATAGCATTATTTTATGAAATGTAACTTTACTATATTTTGCTTAACCAACTCCATGCTAACTTTTTTTAATAATTTATTTTTATTTTATGTACATTGGTGTTTTGACATTGACATGTATGTCTGTGTGAGTAGCTACATACAGACAGTTGTGAGCTGCCATGTGGCTGCTGGAAATTGAACCTGGGTCCTCTGGAAGAGGAGTCAGTGTTCTTAACCGCTGAGCCATCTCTCCAGCCCCCTAACTTTTTCTTTTAAACAAAGATACAGCAGGCTTAGGAAACAAACTTGTTTTTTAAGCTTTATTTATTTATAATTATATTTTAAGCTTTATTTATTTATTTGTTTGTTTGTTTGTTTGTTTGTCTATCTATCTATTTATTTATTTATTATTCTGCCTGCCTGCATGTGTGCCTGCAGGCCAGAAGAGGGCTCCAGATCTCATTATAGATGGTCATGAGCCACCATGTGGTTGCTGGGTATTGAGCTCAGGACCTTTGGAAGAACAGCCAGTGTTCTTAACCCTCTAAATCAACTCTCCAGCCCACATGCTAACTTTTTTTTTTTTAAGTTTTATTTTCAGAGGACTGGAGATATTTTTTTTAATTATTTATTATATATGCAGAGTTCTGCCTACATGTACACCTGCATGACACAAGAGGACACCAGATCTCATTACAGATGGTTGTGAGCCACCATGTGGTTGCTGGGAGTTGAACTCGGGACCTTTGGAAGAGCAGTCAGTTCTCTTAATCTCTGAGCCATCTCTCCAGCCCCATATGCTAACTTTTAAAAAGTGTTTTTATCTATATCTATCAATCTGTCTATCTGTCTGTCTGTCTGTCTGTCTATCTATCTATCTATGGTGTGTGTTTGGAGGGTGGTTCCCATGATAAGACACAAAGGAGGGGGAGGGCTACAAATGGGGAGGGAGCACGTGATGGGGAGGGGAGAGAATGAGTACCAGACATGGGCACCACAGCCCCTCCTCTTGCTGCTGTGGCTCCCATCTCCTGTGGAAGGCCTTGTTCACATTGGGGCTGCACCCAGCTACGGTGGGCACCATCCTACCACACGTTCTCTGGAGCCTCTTTTTGCTTCTGTTTGAGGTCCCCTCGGTCAGCCTTCATGCTCTTATACCATCAACCCAGCTTTTTTGAAACTTTGTTTTTGCTTTTCTTAAACATTTATTTGTAAAAAAAAAAAAAACAAAAAACAAAAAACAAAAAAAAACCCAACAGCATTTATTAGTGCAGGGTATGTACGTGTGTGTGTGTGTGTGTGTGTGTGCGCGCGCGCGCGAGTGTGTGTGCTGGGTGTGTGGCGTGTGTGTCTGTGACGTGTGGTTGTCTACAGGTGTGTGTCTACATGTAGTGTATATTTCGCATGTGTGCACATGCGTGCATGCGTGTATGAGCAGGCCAGAGGTTGGTATGGAATGTCTTTCTTGATTGGGCTTCACATGTTTGTTTTTTTATTTTGAGGCAGTCTCATTGTAAGCTAGGCTGGCCTGGAACTCACTGTATAGACCAGGCTGGCCCTGAAGTCACAGAGATTGTCGTGCTCTGTCTCTCAAGCTGGGTGGGAATAATGACATGCACCACAACATCCAGTCTTTTTTTTTTTCAAAGCATTTTTTTAATTTTTAATTATTACAGTTTATTCATTTGTATCCTAGCTGTAGCCCCCTCCCTCATCTCCTCTCATGCCCCTCCCCTAGTCCACTGATGGGGGAGGTCCTCCTCTCCTTCCTTCTGATCTTAGTTTATCAGATCACATCAGGAATGGCTGCATTGTCTTCCTCTGTGGCCTGGTAAGGCTGCTCCTCCCTCAGAGGGAGGTGATCAAAGAGCAGGCCAATCAGTTCATGTCAGAGACAGTCCCTCTTTCCATTACTAGGGAAACCCACTTAGATACTGAGCTGCCATGGGCTATATCTGGGCAGGGTTCTAGTTATCTCCTTGGTTGGAGTATCAGTCTCAGAAAAGACCTCTGTGCCCAGAGCTTTTGATTCTGTTGTTCTCCTTGTTGCTTTTTTTTAAAAGATGATATTTATTTATTGTGGGTTGTTTTTAGGTTTTATTTTTTATTTTATGGGTATTAGTATTTGCCTGGATGTATGTCTGTACCATGTATGTACAGTGTAGGAATTACAGACATGAGCCAGCTCGCTAGCACCTGGATCAAGCATTTCCTTTTCTGCTTTAAAGGAGTGCCACCCTCCACACGCACACCACACACCCTCACATACATATACACACATTCCCTGAGACCTGGGCACAGATGCATGCACAGACAGTCATATGCACACATACATACAGGGACATGGACACACGGGCATACAGCATCCGTGCAATAGTGTGTTCAGTCCAGTGATGGGCCGTTGGTCTTTAATGTTTTTCCACATTTATTGATTTTGTAGGAGGGCAGGAAGAGGCACCATACTGATCAGAGGACAAGTTGCAGGACTTGTGGGGCGCAGGGATTGATTTCAAGTCATAAGCCTCGGCAGCAAGCTCCTTCCCACTGAGCCCTCTCTGCAGCCGACGCCAGCGTCAGCATAGCATCCTCCCAGCATGCCCTGCTCAGTCAAGGCTTTCCTAATAGCAGGCACCATCCCTGAAACCCACCCAGCCTGGCTGTATTCTCCTCTGGTTGTCAAGTTTCGCCCATGTGGGCTGCACTGTCCTGACGTCCTCTCCACAGCCAGGACTGTGCTCCTGAAGATGGCACCTGGATCAGTGTCACCTTAGGTTGCTAGGCATCTCTGATCAGTGTGCTAGTAAAGGGTCTGGAGAGATGGCTTTCCAGTTAAGAACATTTCCCACTCTTGCAGAAGACAGTTTTCAGCGTCTACACTGGGCACTTCCAGCTGCCTGTGACCCTAGCTTTAGGGCTCTGACACTAAAGTGTCCAGCTTTAGTCCTGGACACAAGTGCCCAGGACTCCGAGGGCACTTGTACTCACGCATGCACATACCACACACAGACACAATTTAAATGTTGAAAAATGATGCCTAGCCACAGTGCCAGGGCCGCTTGGTCCTGGCTGTTTTTCTCTGCAGAGAAAACATCCCGGTCTGCCTTTCTCTTCCTTCTAGCCGTCAGCATCCAGTATCAGGAAGAGGACCCTCCCGACGCTCAGCTGCTGAGGCTGGACACCATGCTGCTGGCTGAGGGTGTGTCCAAGCCAGAGAAGAGAGGACGAGGAGCAGCAGCAGGCAGCACAGCAACACCAGGTGGCTGTCCAAATGACAATAGCATTGAGCACTCAGACTACAGGGCCACGCTGTCCCAGATCCGACAGATTTACCACTCTGAGCTAGAGAAGTATGAACAGGTGATCTTTCTGCACGCAAGAGTTTCTCATGTGAATGGGCACTGGCCACAGCCAGATGTGGACGCGAGCCCCTCCTCTGTGGCAGAGCAGGGACAGCCCGCCACTCAATCACTGCAGAGGCGGCTACCGTCACTGAAAGTGCTCTCCCCTCACTTGTCAGAGCTGACCTGCGTGTGAGCTGTGGGGGGTGGCAGATGTGGTCAGATGTGGAGCCTGCTGCCTCGCACCACCTGGCTGCTTAGTCACAGGCCGGCCTGTCTCTTCCTGCCCAGGCCTGTCGAGAGTTCACCACACATGTCACCAACCTTCTCCGGGAGCAGAGTAGGGTGAGGCCTGTGTCCTCCAGGGAGATGGAGCACATGGTGGGCGTCATCCACAGCAAGTTCAGTGCCATCCAGAGGCAGCTGAAGCAGAGCACCTGTGAGGCTGTGATGACCCTGCGTTCACGGTTCCTGGATGCCAGGTCAGGGCTGCGTGCCACCGGGTTTCCCAAGGGCTGGCCCCTCGGAACAGAAGCAGGATCAGGGCTAGTTCTCATGTGTCTGTTGTGCTGCTGACGATTGAACCCGGGGCTTTGCAAGCGCTGAGCACATGCCCTCCCCACCACTGAGCCCAGCCCTGCCTTGGACTTCAGTGCATCCAGAGGGTCTAGCTGGGCCTCATGCAGCTTCTTGGGGAGAAGCGCGGAAGCACTGAGGGCTGTTTCCTTGTAATTTGTGTGTGTGAACGGCAGGTGAGTGTGTGCCATGGCACAGCATGTGGACGTCAGAGGACAGCCTCGGCTGTTGGTCCTCAACTTCCACCTTGCCGGAGGCAGGATCTCTGATGTTCTCCACTGTGTCTGCAGGCCAGTGGCCACCAGGGGCCGGGGGCTCTCCTGTCCCACACCCTGCCACGGGGCACTGTGTCTGCAGACAAGCACTGGTGTATGCGGCTCTTACATGGCTTCAGAGAATTCAGCCTGGGGTCCTCATACTTTTTTGTTACCCACTGGGGCTTCTCAAGCCCCTAACTGCTATTTTCAAAACTGCAGAATATCAGGATCAGTTACTCACATGCTTGCATACACACAGAAGGACCTGTTTGCATGCCCAGCAGCCAGGTGCGGGCCAGTAAGATGGCTCAGGTACCCCTGCAAAAGTCTCAACACCCAAATGTGACTCTCAGCATGACCCAAACCTGCAGGAATAAGGGTCCTGAATGGTGGAGTGTCAGGTAGGAGGAGAGGGAAGCAGTAGCTAGGACCAGGAGGCCTGGCCTGAGGGCACCACCCTGTACACTGTTTGCAGGGGATAGCCAGGGTTCAGGGAGCTAAATCAGACGCAGCTGCGCAAGGCTTGATACCAAGCCTAGGGAGAAGAGCTGTGTGCCCAGAAGCTGCAGCCTTGACTCCTCTGAGGCGCTGACTCCAGCCTCAGGCTGGCTTGCCAAATCCACTCCTGGACAAGGACACAGAGCTAGTGTTCCCTTTGTCCTTTTATCAGGACCTCTGAAAAAAATCTTGGTTGGCCTGAAGCCATGATAGATGGAGAGAACCAACTGCCAGAAGGTTGTCCCTGGACCTCTACATGTACCCCATAACATGCAAGCACCTGTGTGTGCACACAAATAGTTTCTTTAAAGCCTCTGCAACCCAGGTACTAGAAAGGTGGAACGTGGAGCTAGGTCCCTCAGGTCTGCCGACCAGCAGTCTGGCCTAATCACCGAGCTCCAGGCTCAGTGAGAGACCCTGCCTCAAAGAAACAAGGTGGAGAGTGAAAGACAGGACAGCGGTTTCTGGCCTTCACATGCACTTGCACGCAGTCACACGCAGAGTGCCGGGAGTCGGGACGGGAGAGTTTGGCTAGAGTTCCAGCGTGAGAACGCTGCACGCTGATGCTCTCTGTCTGCAGGCGGAAGAGGCGGAATTTTAGCAAGCAGGCTACCGAAGTGCTGAATGAATATTTCTATTCCCATCTGAGCAACCCTTACCCTAGTGAAGAGACCAAAGAAGAGCTTGCCAGGAAGGGTGGCATCACCGTGTCCCAGGTGAGCCTTCCTGCTCCCGGAAGAAGTCAAGTCTTACAAGGACAGACTCGAGGGGAAGTTATTTAGTGTATGGGAAGGGTTCATTGGAAAGTTACTGAATGGGTGGGAGGGAGGGGCAATGGGGGGAGGGAGACTCTTGGAGAAGTTACTTAGTGTGTGGTGCTGGTCGTGTGTCTCAGCCTGGCTGGGCTCAGACCCCAGCTTTGCACTGGGAATTAGAATGTTGGTGGGACTCTGGTCCCTGTCCTAGAAGAGGGATGGGAGAGTGCTGTAGCAAGATGTGATCTCCAGATGCTGCTGTGAGCTCTAGGAGACTGACAGGGCAGAGACTCCCTGGCCTGTGTGGGTGCTGCAGGAGCCGCATGTGGCATGTGGCACGAGCTCCCTGCACTTGAGTGGGGAGGGAGGGGCAATGGGGGGAGGGAGGGACAATGGGGGGAGGGAGACTCCTGACTCTGGCACTGATCACCTTTGTCTTTCTTGGAGCTTGAGGCAAAGGAAGAGCGAGCAAAGGCCAGAGTGCTAAGAACATTCTTGAGCATTTCAGAGTTCAGTCTGTCCCAGCAGCATACCGGCAGGAAGGTGGGGCCCGAGCATTGGAGCAAGCAGTGCAGCAAGTAACTGCAGAGCAGGGTCTGGTGAGGTCCCAGGTCACACAGGCATAGCTCCTCTGCCTCTCCGCACAATAATGATGGACACTGGCACCTCAGCCTTCTGACGTGCCGTAGTCCTCCTTCCTTCGCAGTTGCAAAGGCTGAGCGTCCTGCCCTTAGACACTTTCGTCAGCCCCTTGCCCAGGCTGTTCAAGTTATGTGCCTGTGACAGAGCCCAGGGTCATGCAGGAGACCCAGGCACAGCGGCCTGCTCTTGAAAGAGCTGCTATGGTGGCCTCAGAACATGGCCAGAGCTAAGGGAAGGGCCTGCACATCTGCATGAAGTGGGAGCATGGCCGCTTGGGCACCAGAGACAGTGTGAGGAGCAGGCAGACTCACGCCGCACCTCCCACCCAGGCCCTGGTTGGTGCCAGGTCCTCTGCAGCATTGCTGTTCTAGAAACTGCAGTTATTCCATGAGACTCCTGCGCTCTGCCCAAAGTTTGGCCCTGAGTCTCAGTATCTGCTTGATCCCCTGCTGGGTGGCTCCTTTCAGAGGACCTTCTATTGTAGGCTCCCATCCTGTTTGCCGTTCTGAGTGAGATTTAAGCATCCTTGCTAGGGTCTTCCTTGTTGTTTAGCTTCTTTAGGTCTGCAGATGGCTGTCCTATATTATATGGCTAATATCCGCTTATTGGTGAGTGTATACCATGCCTGTCGTTCTGTTTCTGGATTACCTCACTCAGGATGATATCTTCTAGTTTCATGGAGTCTTCTGGAAGAAGAAAGGGGTGGGAATAGAGGGACATGGAGGGGACAGGAGCTCCAAAAGGAGACTAACAAAACTAGAAGATCTGAGCCTAGGGGGTCCTGCAGAGATTGATGCACCAACAGAGGACCATGCATGGAGAGGACCTAGACCCCTTGCTCAGATGTAGCCAACTGGAAGCTCAGTAGATCTCTGAGTGAGGAAAACAAGGGCTGCCTCTATCATGAACTCAGTTGACTGCTCTTTGATCACTCGCCCCTGGTGATGCGGCCTTGCCAGGCCACAGAGGAAGAGGATCCAGGCAGCCCTGATGAGACTTGATAAGCTACAGGCAGATGGCAATAGTGGAGAACTCCCCCTTTCAGTGGACTAGAGGAAGTGGATAGGGGGAAGAGGGAAGGAGGGTGGGACTGGGGGGGAGTCGAGGGAGGGGGCTTCAATCAGGATATATAATGAATAAATTGTGAAGACAAGAATAAAATTAAAAATTAAAAAAAGAAAGAAACAGCAGTTATTAGGGGCCTTTTTCCTGTTTTGTCCAGTTGGTTAGGTTTTGGTTTGGAGCCAGTCTCACTGTAGCCCAGGCTGGCCTAGAGCTCACTGTAGCCCAGGCTGGCCTTGAATGCACAGCAAGCCTCCTGCTTCAGTGCCTTTTTTTTTTTTTTTTGTAGTGGGGTGGGTGTTATTTTTTATATTTGTGTGAGCACCTCTCACTGTGTTTGTATGGAGCCTGTCACTACAGGAATGTGGAGCTCAGAGGACAGCTTTGGCCGTTGTTCCTCTCCTTCTACCGTGTGGTCCCTAGGACTTGAACTCAGGTCCTCAGACTTGGCCGCAAGCACCTTTATCCAGCGAGCCAGCTTTTGTCTCTTAAGCTGCTTAAGACCATTCCTTCTGGGCAGTGAGAGGAAAGGCCCCTAACCCAGTGTCTGTACAGTCTGTCCCCAGTGTTACCCACACCAGGACAGCATCGTTATCTGCCCACAGGTCTCTAACTGGTTCGGCAACAAAAGAATCCGGTACAAAAAGAACATGGGCAAGTTTCAGGAAGAAGCCACCATGTACACGGGGAAAACATCCACAGCCACCAAGGCCTGGGGCACAGGGGTTCAGGCCAGCTGCCAGTCCACACCCAGCCCAGGTGACAAGGCCGTGCCCCTCAACTGTAAGCTTTCTGATGCTTTTAGACAGCCAGTGCCAACAGAGGGACAAAAGTACCTCAGCCTCCCGGGCCAGCATCACCCACACAGGGAAAAGAACAGGTGGCCAGGTGCTTTAGGTAGTCAAATACAGGGTCTCTCTCTCTCCCTCCATCCCTCTCTCCATCCCTTTGCACTTCCTTCCTCCCTCTCTCTCTCTTTTAGTTTTTGAGAAAGCCCTGGCTTCTATATAGCTCTGGCTGTCCTGGAACTCACTCTGTAGACTATGCTGGCCTGGAACTCAGAGCTCTGCCTGTCTCTGCCCCCTGAGTGCTGGGGTCAAAAGTGTGCGCCACCGCCACCTGCCCCAGAGTCTCTCAGCGAGGAACTAGGTAGATGCCACCAGAAATGCTGTGACCCCCAGCCTGACTTCAGCCACTTCTCACAGCTTCCTGTGGCCCCTTCCCACTGACAAGTGGGGGTGACATGGTTCTCGCCCTGCGGACCCTGGCCTTCCTCCAGCCCCCACCGGGGGAAGTGTGCCTACAGCCCCTGGTGAGTCAGCTGCAGCCACTCTGGGACCCCTCCAGGGCACTGGGGAAGTAGAGGAACCCAGATACTGGGTCTCTCGGAAAGGGGACCCCAAGGAAAAGTGGGAGCATTCAGCTTCTGGCCTCAGACCCACCTATCAATGAGGGCTAGAGACCTGGTGGGGGAGAATTCTGGGGGGCGTGTCTCACCCTAGGCTGAGCTACATTTTGGTAACTGGGGTCTGGACAGTTAAGCTGCTTCCAGAACTTTCCCAGGGTATCACCTGTCTCCTTTGTAGGCCCTGTGACCTCCCAGTCTGTCCTGAGTGTCTGACCACAGCCTCCTCTCAAGGACCTGTAAGGGCACTGCCTAAGCAGAGTGGAGCCTGGTGGCACCCGCCATGGCCCCGTGAGCCCAGTGAGCTTCCCAGAAGATTCCTTAGAACCAGCCCTGGGGCTCAGGACAGTGTCCACAGGGAAGGGGTTGGGTGGGCCTGGCTCACTCAGGACCTGCCTGCCATTACCGAGTCTAGCCTAACACAAGCTGCAGGCTGGGAACAGTCTGGGTACACCTGGGCCAGGGTGCTCTGGGACGGAGCCAGCAGGAGTGTTGGGGGGGGCGGTTGGAGCAGGCACCAGTCTACCCTGCAGTAGACCTGGCACACCTGTCGGTGCCGGCATTGTCGTGCCCTGCAGGCCTCACCTGAGCTTCCTGTAGTTCTCAGGCCGAGTGTGAGCCAAACAGACCCTCTGGTTTTGTTTGTTTGTATGTAGCCTTGGCTGTGCTGGAACTCACTATGTAGACCAGACTAGCCTTGAATTCACAGAGGCCCCTTGCCTCTGCCTCCTGAGGGAGGAATGTCCCATCATGCCAAGCCCAAGCCAACACTTTCATCCCCCTGTTCTCCTGGCTCTTCTTGAAGGTCACTCCGCCAGCGTGGCCACTGTCCCTGTCGAGGCCCTTCACAGAGCTCTGCTCACAGAGCCTCTCCCACAGCTGATCTGCCTGGTACTGTGTGCAAGGACAATGTCCCCTGAGCTCAGCACACCCATCTAACTGCCCTTCAGGCAGACGAGCAGAGCAGCCCTATTTTGTGCTGTGCCCATGCACACTGCACACAGGAGGCCCTGCCCCTGTGAGGAAGGGTTCTTATTGCCCAAGAGCCACGGCTCTCTCACAGGCCACAGAGGCCCAGACTCTCAGTTCTAATGACCAATGCATCTCATGGAGGGATAGAGGCTCAGGCCCACCCCTTTACCTCACTGCTCAGGTGGCTTTTCTGGGACTCGTCTACTAGCACGTTCTAAGTACCCCTTGGGGACATAGGAGCCAGGTGTTTACTCACACTCCTGTCTGTCTTTCCAGGCCCATGGTAGCTGGCAGAAGGCCACCATTCCACAGCGAGCCTCATCACCTGCTGGAGACTCTGGCAGTGTCAACTCAGATGTGTCTAACTAAGTTTGGGAGCTTGGCAGAATGCCACGGATGACTGGCCCTGTGTCCTGCTGGTTACCTCAGGAGCCTGGCTGTGGCCCTGCCTTTTTTCCTGGCCACTCAGCTCCCCGCCTTGGTGTTACTGAATGACTGACAGTGGATTGCTCGTCTAGGGCTTGTTTCTAGCGCCCCATTAAAGTTTTTGACCTGTTTGCATTCCGGTGTTTCCAGTCCAGGCTTTCTAGGTAACAGGTAACCCTGGACACCATCACCAACTCCAAGGCCTCCTGCTGACTCAGAATGGGCTTGCGTTTGTTTGAGGCTCTGTTTTAACTGTTCTGATGTTTAGTTTGGGAGTTTTGAGATTTTGGGAGAATTTAAGCATCTTGTCACAGCCTCTGTCACCTGAAACCTTGTCTTCTGTTTTTCCCTGAGCAGCAACCAATAGGGCCTTCGATTCACAGCCTTCATTTGGCCAGTCTGCCTAAAGCCATCTGCCAGCCAGCTCCCCCATGGCCCAGACCCCACCCTGTCAGCCGCATCACACAGTAACCAAGTGCCCCTTTTGCCTACGCCCTGGACCCCATGGCAAGTGGGGACCGCCATGTCCTTGAACCCTGCCAGCTGCGCTTCGACACCACCTGCCCATGGGAGTGTGCACGCTGCACCTCACCGATCCTTGAGGGGCTGCAAAGTGGCTTTCAGCGGTCCCCTGTGTGACTGCACACTCGTCCGCCAAAGGAGTCTTCATCGGCGTTCTCTCTGAACCCACAGCCCAGCCCTGACAGCCACTCACCCAGGCACCTGCTGGAGGTTGTCAGCGGGTCACACACTCCTTCTGGAGCTGCTTGTCACTGTCATTTCTGAGGCTTTTTATTTTATTTCTTTTTTGGTTTTTTGAGACAGGGTTTTTCTCTTTTTATCCTTGGCTATCCTGGAACTCACTCTGTAGACCAGGCTAGTCTTGAACTCACAGAGATCCACCTGCCCCTTTGCCTCCTGAGTGCTGGGTTAAAAAGTGTGTGCCACACGCCCATCTCAGTCAGTGTTCTTAACCACTGAGCAATCCTTCCAGTTCCCAGAGCCTCGCCCTTTGTCACAGCCAATTACTCTACAATCGAGGAAGGTACCTTTTAAGAAACCCCAGCTGAGGTGCAGGGCAGCTGAAGGCAGTGGCCCTGACACCTTTCACACCCCTGGGAGGCACGGCCTTGGGCTGGCACCTTCACAGCCACCCTCTGGCTGCATGGAAAAGCTTCAGACTCTGGAAGCCTCTCTGGGTGAGGAGAGGCTCAGGCGCAGGTTTGGGACGGTGTTGCCTGCCCAGAAGCCTGGAAGGGCCAGCACCATCTTGGAGCTGTCGATAGGCTCCATTTGAGGCTCCCACAGTCCTGTGACCTGCTGAGATTGCTGAGGTCACAGCTGTGTTGGCCCCTGGAAGGAGGACTGAGCGGCCGAGATAGAGATAGACCGCCTCAGGAAAGCTGGCTGAAGGAAGAGCAATCTAAGAAGACCATGCAAATGAAATGCAAATTGAATACAAAGGAGGAGGATCATGCAAATTATTTGCAAACAGAACTATCACAGAAGGGACTTGGGGAGAAGTGAGCTGTATGACAAAATAGTCAAGTGAAAATGATGACCTGCACTGCTTATGAGGCTTAGCCCTGGCACCCCCAGCCAGGGGCAGCGGGTGGCCAAGCCTCCAGCCGGGCGGGGCCTGTAGGGGCAGCGTCCGGTGGAGTGGGGCAGGAGAGCAGCCCGCCTGTATCACCCTTTCAACCTCCCCAGAGAGCTCCCTCAGGAGAGACCCCTGGCCCACACTCCCAGCTCACTGGGGGGGATAATAAGCAGGACTGCCTGAGGGGAGTGGTCAGAATTTCAGGGGTTCCCACTTCCCTTCCAGCAGAGGGACTCTGCTGCTCATGCCTCCAATCCCTTACTGGAAAACTCTAGGCAGAGGCCTGAAGAGGCAAGGGCCGCTGGGGAAACCCACGAGGACGGCTAGGGCCTGGGTCTGCTGGAGAGGGCAGGTTTTACCCTTATGTGTTTCCATGACCCAGCGCAGTGGCTCTCGCCTGTGATTCCAGCACTCAGGGAGGCAGAGGCAGGCCGACCACTGTGAGTTCGAGGCCAACCTGGTCTACAGACTGAGTCGCGGACAGCCAGGGCTACACTGAAAACAAAAACAATTTCCATGATGACCCAGCATGGATGCCTCTGCTGCCTCTGAAGGGACAGTGGAAGCCGTGGAAGATGAATGTGGGAGCCAGAAAGGTGACACAAATCAACCTTTTGCCTGCTCAGTTGCAGGTATACCTTTTGCCACGAGGGGGCGCAGTCAACCTAAAAACTAAATCCCGTCTTCAGACTCCGCCAGCAATCTAGAAGGAAACCCTCTGAGCCTCAGTTTCCCCGTCTGTATGTAATGTGAGGGAGTCCCAGGAACTGCCTTCAGGGAGAGGTCAGAAGCCAGCAAAATGCTTCAGCATCCAACACACCGATGGATAAGCAGAACATGACTGTGGCGCTGAGCAGGAAGGGGCTGAGGCCTAGCAGGCCCAGGTGTCTCTGCCTACCCGAGGCCAGCAAACGCGCTTCCTGGGGGAAGGAGGCTGGAAAGGGCTGCGTTCAGCCAAGGGGATGCAACCAGATGGGGGTGGGGTGCCCCTCCTGTTCTCCCAGGACACCCAGGAGGCCGGCCGGTATCAGGCCAGCCAGGCAGCCCCGCCCAGCGGCAGGTGCCAAGGCCTGCCAGCGACATTCCTCAGCGCTGGGCGCCAGGCTGCCGCTCCTGCCGGATGAAACGTAAGCTGGGCCTGGCCGCGTGGGCCTCGTGTTTTTCCAACAGCTTCTTCAGCCACAGCCTGACCACAACCTAGATTCCGTAGGGCTAGCCACTTCGTGTTTGTGCTCAGCCTGGCCAGACAGTAGCGGGGCCAGACGGGGGCCGGGGCCTCCCAGAAGGTCTGGCTGCCGGGCTCTCCTCCGCCGAGAAGCCCTGGTTCGAACTGCTCATCTGTTATTTCTCTTTCTTGTTGTTTTGTTTTGAAACAGGTCCTCTCTATGTAGCTCTGGCTGGCCTCGAACTCACTACACTAGCCGAGGAACGACAGACAATTCCTGATCCTTCTGCCTCCACTTCTCAAGCGCTGGGATGCTAGGTGCCAACATGCCAGACTTGGCTTTCAGACCTCAGAGTCCTCTTGGGATGGCATGTAGCCAATGCTGAAGGTGTAGCGGGGTTGTCTGTGGCCGGCTCCTGCCGTCTCCAGTGTGAGTAGGGTACCATAGGACGTAGGCACACACCGTTAATCCCACTGCTGAGCTGAAGCATGAGCTCCCAAGTTCCAGGACAGCTGGAGCTACATAGCAAAGCCCTGACTCAACAGACACCAAACAGGTAGCGAACAGCTTGTGTTCAGGTGTTGGCAGGGCTCTAACCCAGCTGCAGGCTGGTCCGGACCTGGAGGCTGCTTCCGTGCAGCCTGCAGTTTCTGCTGATTGTGGCTCTGCCCGGTGCACTGCATGCAGCTCCCAGGGCAGAGGCTGATCCTTGGGACAAAGTCATAGACATAGTCTCACACACACACACACACACACACACACACACACCTCTGCTTGAAATCCTCACAAACAAAAGGAAAACTAAAGTTAAGATTTTCAGTCTTCTGAATCTAGTTTTAAAAACTCCTATTCACCCTTGAAAGTCCATATTGAAAATTCCCTATCCTCCAGACCCTGGCCCCCTTGCTGACCCAACCCTGGCCCTACAGGAGGCGTTTTTTGTGCCTGTTTTGCTTTGGCTTTCTAACTGGGGTTCATCTAAGCATAGCTCTACCACTTGGGAGTAGGTTGTGCCCTGTGTGTGTCTGTGTTCCACACAGGATTCTCACAAGACTTGTGGGCTAACCTATACACTTCATGAAACAGACTGGGATAGCCTGGCCCTGGGTGTGGGGGTGGGGAGGGAGGGAGTCAGTTCATGTCTCTGGAAACTTTGAAGCAGGAAGAGGGGCAGGGGCAGGGGCCTCACCTCTGCCTGGCTGGTCCTCAGCCCAGCTCAGCCATGCTCCGGCACCGTCTGGGGCCAGGCAGCCTTTGAGGACATAGCTGAGGTTTGGCGGGGCTGCCTGGCCAGGGCTGAGTCAGCAGGGGGAGGCACGGGGCCTCTGCTGCGAGAGCAGCTGGGATCTGGGAGGCCTGGGGTCCCCTAGCCCCCTCCTCCCTTGGGCTCCGAGAGGGTGTGGCGTGGTTGGCGCCCTGGGGGTGGACAGCTGTACTCTGTAACACATAACTGGAGAGGGCCTGAGGCAAACAACCCATCGTCCTGGGCTGAGGGCACTATGGACACGCAGGCACAGCTCAGCCCCAAGGCATGAGCTCCTTGCTGGGTGTCTATGACCCCATGAGCTAGAGGTTACAGTGCCCTGCCTAACGCTTCTGCAGGTGTCCTAGGGTGACAGGCCCTAGTTAGGTGAGCAGAAGGCACCGGGTGGTAAAGGAGGGAATATCTGACTCTAAGGGACAGAGATAGGGTGTGGCCAGGAAAACCTGACCTTGGGGCCAGATGACGGGCAGGCGGGTTGGCTCTGACTGACACCTTGGCTCTATGGCCTGGGCAGTGGCCGGGGTGAGACCATGTCTGTCTCCCTGTGTCTACCTCAAACAGCTGGGAGTCCCTTCTCCCCGTGCTGGTCTTCCCCCTGTCATCTGCCAATGGCCCTGTCGGGGACCTGGCCTGCTCTCTGCTCCCACTCCAAGGCACCATGTCCCCAGTGATGTCCCTGTACCCCCATAACATTGAAGCCAGTCCTGGCCAGGCCAACTCCAGCCCTCGGGGTCTGAGACCGGGACAGACCCACCTCTGAGGCTGATGAGAGAGACAGACTGTGGGGAAGTCGTGGGTGGCTGCACTGGGCCCCCGGGGCCCCTACAGAGGAGCCAGAGATGTTCTGCCAGGACTGAGCTGTGGAAGAGGGGGTGCTGGGCCATGTGGAGAGAACAGACCCCAACACCACCAGAGAAGCATGTCGTAAAGACTGAGCAGAACTCCTGGGGGCCACAGAGGGGCAGGGGATTTGTCCTGAGAAATTGTGTAGCCCAGGCTGGGCCAGCAAAACGGCTCAGCGGGTCGAGGAGCTTGATGCCCAGGCCTGAGGATCTGAGGTCAGTCCCTGGAAACCACATGAAGGAGGAAAGAGAACACCAACTCCACGAAGCTGTGCTCTGGCCTCCATACCCATGCTAGGCCATAAGCGTGCCCACACAGGCACCAAATGCACAGAAAAGAGGAACCTGGCCTCTGGAGGTCTCTCACTCTAGAAGCTGCTTCCCTCCCTTAGCGTCTCCCGCCTTGTCCCTCAAG